TTTGATCAAACGCTTGTACTAGTTTTTGAGGCACTACACAAAGGTGTGAGCATCAATTCAAAAGTTCATTCCATTTGTGGAGGTTTTGGCCATAAAGGTCACAATGCCACTCTTGAAAAGTGACTTTAATCACAAAGCTTGTTCGCCTTGAGACCCTAACTTGTTTCTTCTACACAAGCATATCTAAAAGATTCCAACCACTCGAGATATCTTTCTATCTTGTATTGGGACCATGAGAACCATCAACCCATCAAATTGAATTCCAACCAAACCATGAAACCATCAAATTATAATTCTGCATAGCTTAATCCTCATCCTTGCCCTATAAATTGAGGCTTAATTCTTACTTTAAAATACAACAAAAACCTCAGCATTCCCCTCTCCAAAAGCCCTCAAACCAGAAACTTGTTCTTGGTTCCTTTTTGTGCCAAGAAACCCCACTTTGCACAAACTTGCAATTTGCCTTCCACAAACCACAAACCACTCAAACAACCATCAAAACACATTACAAATCATCCTTTGAAGGTCTCTAAACCTTCATCTTCACCCCTAACCACCAAAATCAGAAAGTCAATTGTCAAAACTTCATAACTTTGACTTTTTGTATTTTACAGGCCATTTATCCTTTGTTTCATAAACCGTGAACCAAGCCACGTTACAACCCTCAAAAGATCTAATTAAAGCATGTTTATTTCAAAAGCATACTCAACGAGACAATATTTTCTGACTCCTATTGGGTTATGCTCATATTTGTGTTGGCTTTGCAAAAAGAAAACTAATGACATATCCTAACTCGTGATCTGGCCACAAGTTATTGCTATATCTTTTCAATAAAAACTTCAAGACAAATATGTGTGTTGCATTAGCAGTTTCAGAATTAATGTTTTCTGCTTCCTAACATTTGCTTAATGACATAAACGCATGCATGTGAACATCAACGACGAATTTAATCTTTTAACTCTTTTGAGTAGAGGGTCAATCATCTCAAGAAGATAACCATATCCAGTGGCAGGCAGCTTAAAGACTATGCTAACCAGGGGGAAAATTGTTTTCCCAGTTGTTACTGGCATTATTTCCTTGAAGCTCAATGATTGTTGATATTAATGATCTGATCGTCCTCAGTACTTTCATGAGGACCAATTTTCATTGGTGTGTAGTTCAAAGGCACTATTATGCAAAAATACAGCCAGTCTAGGGTAGTTACGTCGAGATTTGATAAAATACTCCAAGAGTTTGAAGACACTAAGGCATGGTTATGACCCGTTTTCTGTAAAATCCTTTTGAGATATTTTACTCTCATAAACCATGTAGGACACGTCTACTTGGAAACTTTGTTAAGCCGGGGCAAGTTGTTTCCATTTGTTCCTGGCATTATTTGTCGTAATCCAATTGTTATTGGCATACAAAGTCACTTCGTTGTTGACCCCTTTGTTTAAGGTGCATCCCAGTTACCTCCCTTGTAGTCTGGCTATCCATAAGAAACAAGTTCAAAGACTCCATTGTGCAGAACACAGTTGATCTGAAACAGTTATGTCAAGATTTGATAAATCTCTCAAAGAGTTTGAAGACACTAAGGAATTATTATGGCCCGTTTTCTGTAAAATCCTCTCAATATGACGTCCTCTCGTAAGTTATGTAATATGGGGAATATGAGAATGGGAGTTTGATCACAAGATTTTGTTGTTGTCCTTCATGCAATTTTTAAATAATGAGTTAGGTGTTTTCTGAGCAAGCGTGTTCTTATTTCCTGCCTTAGAAGTACCCTCAATGGATTTCTACTCCAGGTAACTCTGACATGTTTGTGTGATTCCCTGTGAGTATCTACTCCAAGTGATTATGGCAACTCCCATATCATATCATTTTGTGTATTTGTTTTGAAAATATAATAAAAATGAAATGATAGAAAAGAAGTTTGTTTCGGTATATAAAAATATTTTAATCAATAGGATATTTTTTTGAGTATAAAATTATTTTTGTTTTGCTATTATTTATAAAAATATTTGAATCAATAATAAACTTATTCATATATATATATATATATATATATATATATATATATATATATATATATATATATATATATATATATATATATATATATATATATATATATATATATATATATATATATATATATATATATATATATTTTAGAGATCTAATCAATTCTATTTAAAAAGAATAATTAAACACATTAAAATTAATTATACATCTTTAAAATTATTTTAAAATAAAAATTTATTATATATTTATCAAATTTTTAAAATATAAATATTTTATAATCATTCATTAATTATGATAGTTAGATGTAACCAATTGCTTCATGGTCATAGTTAAGTTCTTTGTGATATTTATACCTATAATATTGTCCGAAATAAAAAAAAAAAAAAGTTGATTAATAAAAGTACGTGAAAGTGATAGAAAATTGACTCGTTGAAACTCTGCATTAATTATACTACATGCTTTTAAAATGTGATAGTCTTGGTCCTATTGTCTATTTTAGTCTAGGAGTTGACATGATTTAGACAAATAACTATTAATTTTGGCTTAATTTATCTTTTAATTCTTTAACTTAATTTAAATTTTCACTTTACTCTTTTATTTAATAAACATTACATTTTACTCCCTTAAAAATTATTTTGTTAGTTATTTTAGTTCATTCTTTTAATTGTTAACTTTAAATATTTTAGATGAGACAACATTGTTGAGGGTCTATCATAGACTTTATTATTTTTTTAATTTTGACTATTGGATCTTTTTAAAAAATATCACACGGTCAGAAATTGATAATCTACTTATGACAATGATCTATCAACACATAATATTTTTTTATATAACTTCATTTTCTTTCCTCTTCTCCTCCGTCATCTTCATTATCATATTCATCAACATTCATCTCATATCTAAAAAATTCAAAATTAAATCCAAAAAATCAAAATTAAACCCTAAACAATTTAACTTTAGAAAACATATGAATAGAGTTGTAAAACTCCAAAATTAATGTTGGGTTATAGGAACGTTCTCAGTATAGACAAATCCAAATGGTGAATCAAATAGGTACAAATAAATTGTCAGATTCGATATGATTGTAAAGAAAGAAAGAAATTGTTAAAAGACTTGAAGAACTCTAATTTTGGGTGAAGTGCTAGCATTTTTGTGCTTGAATCTTGGGTGTTACTATTTTAAGAAGAATTAATATGAATGAATTTATGATTTTTTTTTTAACTTAAAATAACAGTTAGTATTTGATCTATGAAAATTGTTTGATTTTTAATTTAAATTTTATTGGTTTTCTTTTCCATTCATGTACATGGATGTTCTTGGTTTCTTTGTCTATTTGAAGTGAACATAAAATAATTTGTTAACAGAAGGCAAAACCCTTAAGTACCATCCAAAAACTCATTAATAAATTAATTTGGATCTTGTTGATCACTGTTTATTTTTATTTGGTAAGTTTTGCCTTAATGTGTACATTTTTTTTTATATTTAATTTTGATTTTTTTGAATTTTATGGGTTTGAGATGAATGTGATGATGATGTAGATGAGGAAAGAAGATGAAGTTATATAAAAAATATTAAGTGTTGATAGATAATTGTATTCAGTAGACTATCAATTTTTAACCGTGTGATATTTGTTAAAAAGATTCAATGATCAAAATTTAAATAAAATAATAAAATCTATGGTGGACCCTCAACAATATTGTTTCACCTAAGATGTTTAAAGTTAAAAATTAATAAAATAGACTAAATTGACTAACGAAATAGTTTTTAAAAGACTAAAATATAACGTTTATTAAATAAGAGAGTAAAATGAAAATTTAAATTAAACTAAGAGATTAAAAGATAAATTAAGCATTAATTTAATATATAAATTGCAAAACAGTATATAAAAAAGTTAATGCTAAAACTGCATAGAAAATGGAAGGAAAAAAAAACAAGCTACTCCATGCGATCATGTTGCTTTGTGTATATAAAAGTATTAAACGTGATCATTAGTTTGATTTTATTAAACAAATCAATATATATATATATATATATATATATATATATATATATATATATATATATATATATATATATATATATATATATATATATATATATATATATATATATATATATATATATATATATATATATATATATATATATATATATATATATATATATATATATATATATATATATATATATATATATATATATATATATATATATATATATATATATATATATATATATATATATATATATATATATATATAAAATAATTTTTTTAAAAATTATGTTTGATTAACCAAAAATTAAAAATAAAATAGATATTAAAAAATAATCTTTTAATTCCCTTAATGGTAAAATGAGGGATATTAAAAATAATTTTGTAATTTAAAATAAAAGTTTAGATCCATTTTTAATAATTTTTTTCATTAAAAAATGAATTTATATATCTTCAATCATAAATATGAATATCAATAAAATAAATTTACTAATTTTTTTTTTAAATTGACAAAAAATAATAAATTTGTTTGATTTAAATATTAAAAGAATTAAAGACATGCAGTTATTAAGAAATTCAAATAATTAATGATAAAAAAAAATTCAAATAATAAAAACTAAGTAGCATCATGTGAGTTTGAAACTGCGTCTCTTTCATTGAATTTATATAGTATTTGAAAATTTGAATTAATAGAATAGAAAAAAATTAAGAGATAAAAAATAATAATAAGTAAAATAAAACTAATTTATGTTTTTTGGACTAAGGAAAATTTGCAATTCTTTGTTGGCCCGGTGATAAAAGAAATAAGTCTTATCTTTTGAAGATAGGTTAAACTCTTATTAGTTTCACTATGTGAAACTATTTTGAATTTAATTATAGTCAAAATTAATAGAAGAGAAGAAACTTTATACCAGTTGTAAGATAAACCAGAAAACAATAGAAAAAGTATGGCATTAATGAACATTAATACAAATTAAAAATGTGGCATTAATTATAACTAACGATGGGCAGACACGAACGACCACTAAAGGTGGTGGCAATGCCGGAAACATCATCTGATAATCTGAATGACGATCAGCAAGGCGACAAAGATTTAACATCTAAGACAACAATGGAACGTGAAAAAGAGAAAACTGTAGGAGCGATTACAATGGACCAGGAAATCCATGAAACCCTAGAAGCAGAGAAGGGGATAAACGAACCCAGAAAACTGGGTTGAAGTCATTAGCGGAAATCGCAACCCTGGTAATGGATTATCACTCGAATTCATAGCACCAAAAATTGTCAATGGAGTACCTGAGATTATAATTGAGGAAGCTGATACTATCAATGAGGTGAAATTCTGGGAAACCTCTTTGATAATGTATGTTATTGGTGGTGAATTAAGCATGAATGGTGTCAAGCAGTTCATGACCAAACAATGGAATTTCGTCAAGTTACCTGACATGTACTACAACAACGAAGGCTATTTTATTCTGAGATTTCATTCGCATAAAGAAAGAGACACTGTTCTATTGAAGGGACCGTATACCATACGAAACATGCCGATGTTACTAGCTGAATGGAAGCCAAATTTCAATTTGAAGACTGATATGTTGCGTACCATCCCGGTTTGGGTCCAGTTTCCCCAACTGCCACTCCATCTATGGGGAAAGAAATCCTTGGCAAAGCTAGCATGCGTACTCTGAACCCCGCTAATGACTGATGAATGTACCGCCAACAGATATCGTATTTCATATGCTAGAGTACTAGTCGAAATAGACATCACCCAAGAGCTGATTAAGGAAATAACCATTACGGACGACAATAGAGAAAAGATGCAGCAAATGGTGGAATATGAGTGGAGACCACCGTATTGTATGAAATGTCATCGAATAGTACATAGATGTGAGGACAAACGGCAGGAAAATCAGGTGAAAAAATGAGCCCTCAAAGGGAAGAAAACAAATGAGTACCAATTGAAAAAACCTCAGGAGGAGCCTATTCTTAAGACACCAATACACTAGAGAGTATTGCCTGTGAATGCTCCGACACAACAACCTATTGCACAGGTCCAACAGCAGACGGGAATTGAGATTACTAATGGACCAATCCTTCAACCAACAAATGAACAACAGACAGATGAGGGAGAATCTGAAGGCTGGACAGAAGTTCGGAGGCGTGATAAAGACAAGAGTTAGTACAGTAGTGCTGGGAAGAATCCTAGAGCGACTCACGTGAAAAGGAAACATGGAAATCTGGTTGCAACACTTGGGGATAGTTCTGCCTCAGTGTTCTTAGAGGATGTTCCATGATCGTTTCATGGAACGTGAGGGGGCTAAATAAAGCGGGCAAGGTTAGAGAGATCAGCTCCCGTCTTCGAAACCTTGACCCTGCAATAACTGTATTAATTGAGACTAGAGTGAAAAAGGAAAAAGCTGTGGGAATTAGAAAGAAATTAAAGATGTGTGGTAGTTACCTGGATAATTATGCCCAACATGATAATGGCCGAATTTGGATCCATTGGGATGACAACAGCAGACAGGTTGAATTTGTTGCGAGCACGGATCAAATGATTCACTGTAAGGTGAATGATGCTAATGATAATTTCATGTTCTGGATGACGGCAATATACGCGCAAAATCAACTGCATCATAGAAAGAAGTTATGGCAAGACATTGAGAAAATCTGTGCAAACCAGACTGGGCCTTGGATTTTGATCGGTGACTTCAACAATGTTATGAAGATCGAAGAACGGATTGGCGGGAATGAGGTGACAGAGAACGAATACAGGGATCTAATTGAGATGATGAGCAAGACTGAATTGTATGCACTAGATCATCAAGGTGATTATTTCACCTGGTCCAACAAACAGGAACACAATGCGATTTATTCAAGGATTGACCATGTGTTGGGAAACGCAGATTGGATGCAACAAAACGATAATACGACTCTAACTCATGAGAACCCCAGCATCTCCGATCACTTCATGCTAATACTGAATGGCAACATGCCGAAAACTAGAGCAAACAGAGTTTTTAAATTCATAAATTGCAGCACGGACTTGGATCGTTTCCGGGACACTGTCAGTGATAGTTGGAATATGCCAATGGAAGGTAGTCCAATGTTTATTGTTTGGAGGAAATTATTGAGGTTGAAACCACATATAAAGTCACTTAGTAAACCTTTGGCTGATGTTACTAACAAAATTCTGCAGACCCGTGAGAAGCTAACAGTAGCCCAGACTGATCTTGCGCATAACAGGCTAAATGGCGACAAAATTCGACAAGTTAAGGAATATAGTGCAGAACTTTTGGATTGGCAGGAAAAGGAAGAGAGTATGCTAAAACAGAGGGCAAAAATTGAATGGTTACGTCACTGTGATGGTAACAACAAATATTTTCATGCCTTAATTAAAATGAGACAAGAATTCAAAACCATGAAGAAAATTCAAATGGAGGATGGTTCTTATGCTATAGATAAAAAAGGACTGGAAAATGCAGTGCTAGAGTTCTACACTAAACTCATGGGGACACATTCCAATGACCTTGAAGCTATTGACACTAGTGCAATGCGTGCGGGCAGCCAACTGACTGAAAACCAGAGAACAATGCTCAGTGAACCGGTTACAGAAAAAGAGATCAAGGATGCACTAGATGGTATAGGAAATGACAAGGCGCCGGGTCTAGATGGCTTTGGAGCCTATTTTTTCAAACAGGCATGGCAGATAGTGAAGGCAGATGTTATAACAGCAATTAATGATTTTTTCAATACCAATCGAATGTATAAGGTGGTGAACTGCTCAATTGTCACGCTTATCCCTAAACACAGTGGAGCGAAGGAAATGAAGTATTATAGACCGATTGCTTGCTACAGTGCCTTATATAAAATCATCTCAAAGGTACTAGCTAATCAATTGACCATGGTATTAGGAGTAATTGTGGGTGATAACCAGGCTGCATTCGTAAAGGGACAAAAAAATTCACAATCATATACTCCTCACTCATGAGTTGATCAAGGGATATGAAAGGAAAAGAATCTTTCCCATATGCCTTCTTCAAATGGATATCCAAAAAGCATATGATACGGTGGATTGGAATGCGTTAGAGAAGATTTTACTTGAGGTAAGATGCCCGCGAAAATTTGTTGATTGGGTCATGACTGCGGTTTCGACGGTATCATACAGATTCAATGTTAATGGATACCACTCTGATATTATGAAAGCAAAAAGGGGTCTACGCCAAGGTGACCCAATCTCGCCTATGCTTTTTGTCATTATAATGGAATGCTTGAACTGTTACCTCTTCAAAATGTAACAAAATAGTAACTTCAACTATCACCCGAAATGTGAGAAACTGAATATTACAAACTTGTGTTTTGCGGACGACCTCCTCCTATTATCTAGAGGCAACAAGAATTCAGTCGATTTAATGATGGTGGCATATGCCAAATTCTTGAAGGCCACGGGTTTAGTTGTGAATCCACAAAAATGTCGAATTTATCTTACTGGTGTAGATGAGAAGACGAAGAAAGATATTCGTATGGCATCAAATTTCCAAATGGGACAATTATCGTTCCGATATCTAGGGGTACCCGTAACGAGTAAGAAGTTATCTATTGCCCAGTATTCTCCGTTGATTGACAAAATTGTTGAAAAAGTACAGCACTGGACAACGTGGTTACTAACTTATGCGGGGAGATTACATCTTATAAAAAGCGTGATGTTTGCGACGACCAACTATTGGTTAAACTGTTTTCCCTTCCCTAAAGGTGTCCTTAAAAAAATTGAAACAATTTGTCGGATTTTTCTTTGGACAGGCGGTTTTGCAGGTAACCGTAAGTCACCTGTATCTTGGAAACAAGTCTGCAAACCAGTTGGCTATGGTGGGCTGGATATCATAGATATTGATGTGTGGAATAATGCCAACTTAATGAAACTGCTTTGGAATTTGAGTGGGAAAGAAGACTCACTGTGGGGGAGATGGATACAGGCATACTACATCAAAAACAGAAGTCTACTGGATATACAGTGTACCAACAATGATTCCTGGATTATTAAGGCCATTCTTAGTTAGAGGGATGATCTCACCACAAAAGGGAAGCTGACAGAAATCATGGAGGATCCAAACCTTAAAGTTGGCAAAGTTTACAAATCCCTACAAGAAGATGGACAGAAGGTAAGATGGGCAAACTTGATCTACGGTAATAACGCATGACCCTGCGCTAACTTTATCATGTGGCTGGCTTGTCATGATAGATTAGCAACTAAGGACAGGTTAGCTAGGTTCGGCGTGATTGAAAATACTGAATGTTGTTTCTGTTCGAATGATGAATCTCTAAATCATTTATTCTTCGAATGTGAAACAATGAGAAGTATTTGGAAGGAAGTCCTACAGTGGATGCAGATCCATCGTATCCCGGGGGCTGGCAAGATGAACTTAATTGGCTGATGCAAAACACAAAGGGAAAAGGAGCAAGGGCGGCTGTCATTAAAATGGCGGCATCCGAAACTATATATGAACTTTGGATGATTAGGAATAAAAAATTTGTTGATGTGAATGAAGATACAACCATAATGGGGAAGAAAGTTATAGATACATTGGTATACAGAGGATGAAATACCAAGAAAATTAAAAAATACATAACTATTCTTATGTCAGATAGGAAATAATTATCTTTAGTTTTTCTTAGCTCTATTAATCCTATTTGATTTGTGTTAGTGACTGGATCCGAAAGAGGATCGCTTGTACTTCCTGTTATTTTTTTGAAGTAATATAAAGTTTTTTTTATTAAAAAAAAAAAGTGGCATTAATAGACATTAGTAAGACAGAGCAAACATATAATCGGCTACACATTACATTACTGGTGCCCTCCACTCTACGTTTGCATTGTTTTAAAATATTTTTCACAACTTTAATTAATTTTAATCTTATTTTATGTTTCCTAAAATCTGAAACATTTAATCAAAGAAATTTTCATTTGAAATTAAATATAACTGTAATTTGGAAAATCAAACTTTTGTAAATATTATAGAAAATCAAAGTAAATAATTGTAATCATTATTATAACAATAACTCTATAGTATAAGTTATACAAAATAATAATAATATTTTATCATAAATTTAATATTTAATATTAAAAATTATATTTAAAGTATAATAAAAATATTCCTAATTGTAATTAAAGTATTATATATTTTTTCTAAACATTTTTATATAAACAAATATCAATAACTTTATC